TTTCTGAGTCATTTATTTGGTTCCCAGACTATACACATCATCTGCTCCTTCTCCTCACCCCATAACTGACAGGAGGGCTCTCTGGAGGCAGACCTCATTGTCTTTCCAAGGTGACAGGAACGGGGAATGTGTCAACCCCTCCTGCCCCCATCACAGCAGAAAGGATGCTCAGAGCAGGACGGGCTGAGCGTCTGGCTCAGCTGGGTCCCCCAGGGCTACTTTTCCAGAGAAGGCCCAGTTGTTAGCCCTCTGACCTCGGCTGGGTCTCTGCAATGCTGACGTCCGTTGATGTGTTCAGCACCCAGGCCCTTGCCTCCTCAGAGCCAGCGGAGCCGCTGCAGACCTGGCCGGGGCATTATCCAGACCTGGTACTCCAGTGGCTCCCCCTAGTGCCCGCACCCTCCAACAAGATCAACAAAAGCTGGCAACCTCTCCAGCTCCGTCTCCCACTGGGCAGCACCTCGTTCTGGACACTGTCCCAGCCGGGGCTGTGCTGCCTCCAGGAAATCCTCCCTAATCTTTATCTGGGCAGGCAAGCCTCTCACTTCCTGCTACAGGGCATGGGCCTACCTGTTGAGTCTCTCCGTAGCCTGGGTACTCATGAGGGCAGACTACGGTTAACCCACGTCTGGCCTAGAGCCACGCCCTAAGCCTTCACCTCAGTCCCAGGACTGTCACAAACACAGTCCCACCTGCCTTTGGGCCTTCATTCCACATCTACAAATGAGAATTCTGGAGTAGACTGGGGATGGCCAATACGCAGGACACAAACTACAGTTCATGTGCCCCTGCTCGTGGTAAACCTGGCCAGGGGGTATCCATCAGGCCCGGACACAACTTCAGAATCATTGTCCACACACTGTTCTTAGCAGCAGCCACCACTAACCAAGCACGGCTGGCATCAGAATGGAAGCACTGGCTACTTCTAAGAGAAGGTGGCAAGAGATTCCGTCTCTTCCCATCCTTTCCATCTTTTTCTCTAGTCCCTATTCTTCCTCTAGACGTGAAGATCCTTGCAGATGTCCACACTCAGAGCACTAGGAGCAGGACCCAGGAGGCCTGGGTTTGGACTCCCATTACTTTGGGCAGTCAGTCACTTTCCTGAGTCTCCCTTTCCCACCAGTCAGCCATGCCTCCTCTGTAGGAACAACTGCAACCAAAATGAAACTAAGTCACATGTCTAAAAACACTACATAATTGAAAACAATTATTGGAATTTAAAACAAAACAAGAACAAAACAGCCTGTACCCAGTACTCCCTTCTCCATGACCCCTGCCCTGCTGTAACTCCCCAGCTCTGGACCTAGACATCCTCATTGGGCAGCGCCTCTCAGAGCCACCGGAGGGCCAAGGGCGCTGTGGACCCACCCAGACCAGTGGGCCTGGTCAAAGCCAAGCCGAACTTGCCAGATGTGCAGCCCAACTGACTTAAGCTGCGTGAAAAAAATAATGTTGCTGCTTGATTATGTAACATCCATCTGGATCCAAAGCAGAAAATCCAAGTTGGAAGGGCCCTCAGAGGCCATATCTGGTCTACCTGGCTTCACCTACTGGTGAGGAAGCTGCGCCCAGAGACTTGGGGGAGCAACTTGCCTGAAGTCAAGTGTGGGAGAGGAGGTGGGGCACTAACACAGGCGCCTCAGGCTCCTGCTCTCTGTTCCCCTCCTCACTCCGGAACTCCACCCTTGACCTCCAAGACTGGTCAGAATGCCAGATCTAGAGCGTTGGGGCTGGTTTGGCTCCACTCCTGGTAATGTGAGCAACACAAATAAACTCAGCTCAAACATTTCCAGGTGGACACCAGGTGCCGGGATGCCAAGATTAAGGCAATCTTTTTACACCAAATACATAGAATTAGAATAGCCTTGCTAAGTTCTACCATGACCGCAAGAGCTCCACAATATTCCCCAACAGGGAATATGGCAGGGTCCCAAACCACTTCCCTATCAGCCCTCAACCTGCCGCTACTAGACACAATCTCGTGCCACAGGACCAGGCAGGCACTGTCCACCTCGGGAACTGAACATCAAGTAAGAAAGAGCAGACAGACAGAAGGCCAGGCCTTCTGACCTCAGGAGCAGCCTCTCAGCCTGGCAGTCAGAGGCCCGAGGAAGGGAGTCAGTCCCATTTGTTGCTTCCTGAGGAGCCAGAAGGGAGGAGGGGGGACAGGGACAGCTGTTCCCTCCCACCCACCCTGGCAGCCTGGCTGGCTTCTAAATTTAGCACCAACTGGGGGTGGAGTGCTGACCTGAAAACTGGGCTGCCCACTTTGGGACAGGGTCTGGCCAAAGCTGGATTAGCCAACCCAGGCTGCTCCTCAGTGCAAAGACCCTGCCACAGCAGAGCTGCCTGCCCAGACAGTGGCCAAGCGGGGGAAGAAGTGCAATTGTTGGCAGCAGATAAAACCCTGGATACTATCTCTACTTCCCTTCTAATATCAAACTGGCCGCCCGCAAGATGAGTGAGGGGCAGGGCCGGCAATCAATAGCTAATATTCCTGCTGTGAGCTGGCCTGCTCCGGAAATGGGAAGCCACTAACTCCTGCCAGAATGATACCCTTTCCCCTTCGCAGTGACCCAGCCTGAGGGGTTCAGCATCGTGGCCAGGAAGGACCCCATGCACCTCCATCAGACTGACAGGGAAACGATGCCCTTGGATGGGTGGAGTATGGGGTCAAAATTCCCCAGGAAGCAGAGGGGCCGGGGCACCCAGCTCTGCCCAATGGTTCAGTCAGCTCTTGGCAGTATAGCCTGACAGGGGATCAGACAATACCTCAAGTCCAGAGGGTCCAAAAGCCACCCCTGTGTGATAGTGGCTGGTGGCAGCTAAATAAGGACAGGAATCAGTCTGGACTCTCTGACCACACACCCCTCGACGTCACAGGGGAGGGCCCAAGAAGTATGTCTGAAATTAAGCCTTAACCATGGACAATTATACCAAAGCAAGAAGCAGGGAGCTACCCACGTATCAGGCAGGCCTTGCTTTGTCCCAGTCTCAGGCCAAAATAGAAGTTAATGGCCTATTTTTTAAAATACAGCTATTGCCCACCTCTTCCCACCATCTGCACTGGCACCCAGATGACAGCCAGCCTCCTCAACAGGGATGCTTACAGGTGGAGCCTGGTCCCTGGGTGGGCTCGGCCCTCCAGGCAGGAAAGCCACATTTGCATTTGATCAAGGGCATCGTGGCATCCTGAGAAAGAAGCCCCAGACAGAGCACCTGTGGGAAAGGCCACCAACTGGGGGCAGGACGCCCTGGATGCAGGGGCCAGAAGATGGCTGTCCCATAGTATGGATGACCATCCCCGATCACAGTCCTTGGGTTTCCCTCTGAGAGAAAGGTAGCGCCTACCTGGCTCCTGTCTGCCTTGGACCTACGGGTTTCCAAGGGTTTTTACCGTTTCACTCTCTTTGAAGTCTGGCCCCTCTTCCCAATGCCTGTGGCCTTACCACAAGCTGAGCCTCAGGCCGTGCCCGGTCGAGTCCAATCTGGAGCCTACACACTAATTTCTGAGTCTGTGCCCACTTCTACCCCTGGGACAAGATCCCAGTCTGGGCAGCAGGCTAGGAATGCATACACCATGGGTGGCCACCCAATGCCTTAAACCACCACCCCTATTCCCTCTCACTCCCCTGACCACCAACTTGGTGGGCCATATGCTATTTGTCTACAGGTAACATTCCTATTTCAGTGCCTCCCTTCTTGTCTGGTGAGCCGTGTGTCTTAACCCTTCTCTCCTGGGAGTTAACATCAATCAGAATATGAAATCTTGCAAAGCAAAAGTGGCTTCTAGGTTGTCTCCTATTCTTTACCCCCCGAAGAGGCATCCATCCCACGTTCGCTCCGATACTCCAGTGCCAGGGAGCTCCTGCATCCTGCAGCCTGTGACTCACTGCTGGACACACGGTGTGAAATTCTGGCTTCCACTGAGGACCAGTGTCCTTGGACTCTACCTCACTGGTCACATTTTAGAATTCATGGGCTTCACAGAAAGGTCTCTGCCTTCTTTCCCACACAAGTGCTCTTTCCGGATTCTTATCTGGAAGCGCTAAGCTTGCAAAAGGCCCGGGGAACTTGGACAGATTCTCAAGCGCAGCTACAGACGGGTCTGAAAGAATGGGATGCTACACGCAAGAGAAGAAACGTAAAAATTCCTTCCAGCCCTGCATGCCGACACCTCTCCAAGACAGTACTTCCTGGTCTCAATCTGGTTTAAATGGACCTCAAAGGGGATGGCCAGGAGGAGGAGGAGGAGGAGGAGGAGGAGGAGGAAGAGGAGGTGCAAAGAAGAGGGAGGAAGAGGAGGCACAAAGGAGGTGGCAGCCACACCCAACCCTGACAACATACAGCCCTGAGAGCCCAACAAGGTGTCTTCTGGAAAAGGCCAGGCTCTCCCGACCAACGTGGGATCTGCTCCTGCCTCTGGCAGGCAGAGTGCGGGCACAGATGCTCGCGGGGCGCCGTCTGTGATCGCACTCGGAAAAAATCAAGTGGTTAACCAGAGGGAAGGGACTCTGAGACCTGCCAGGATGGTGGGTTTTTGTTTTGTTTTTTTTTAGATTACGCCTAAGGTTTGTAGTTTGGACAGGCAAAGTAAACAATGACAACGGACAGCAGCAACAAAACAGAAACAAAGAACGGTTTACTTGTTTGAGGAAAAGAACGCCTGTGTTAAAAGACAGCTCCACGTGGGCTTGGAAGCAGCCCCTCCGCCTGCCTGACCAGGGGCGGCCGCGTCTGACTGTGACGAGGGTGTGAGGAAAACAAACGCCGGCACAGGCAGGAGGCGGGAGTCTGCTTTCCATTCCTTTTCTCCCCTCCTAGGTTTTCGGAAGGGGTGGAGAAAGGGATTGGAAGGGAAGGGCTCGAACCAGCAAAACAACGGTATTTAGACCATGGCAAACTGAGCTACTACTTACTCTTCTCTCTCTCCCTCCCTCCCGCTGGAGACTGGCGTGGAGTGAAAGGAGCACAGGACCAGCCCGGGGCCCAGCACATACCTGAAAGAAACCCGGCGGGATGGGGCCTCCAGGCATCCCATCATTGGGGGGAATGTTGCCAAGCACTGGGCTTGGGGCTGCGGCTGCACTCTGCGGAGACAGGAAAGCAAGGCGTTAGAGAGGCTGCACTTATGACGAGAGAATTCTGACCCCCTGCCCCCACCTTCTGAGACAGAGTTGCAACCCCCCACCTTCCCAACTCCTTGTCTGCCTACATCCTTCACAGACCCTCCTCAATACTGCCCTTCTTGGCAAGTGATGACCTCTGAGTCCGCTATGTTGCACCAACACTGCAGAGCTGTCGCGGGTGGCCAGCACACTGTAGCTGCTATGAATGCGAGGCGGCCCTGCCTTAGCCACCTGGCTGCTTTACCAAGTTCCTCAGGGCAGGCGAGTGCTTCCTGAGTGCCTGTCCCACTCTAAGAGGCCGGCATGTTGCACAGAGGAGAAGCCTAATAAGTACCCACAACTTAATGAGTAAGCCGACAGCCCAGCTGGGAAAGGGCCCTGGAGGGGCTGAGGGAGGGCAGGTGTGTTTGGTCCTGTCAGGGTCCTGGTGCTGTAGGCAGGAGGTGCACGGTGTGTGTGTGTGTGTGTGTGTGTGTGTGTGTGTGTGTGTGTGTGTGTGTGTGGGAGGGGGGTCATCATTACTTTTCCTTTTAAAGGCTGCTATTCTGGCATTTACCTGGTACATCTGCCTCAACAAATGCCTCCCAGGGGTGAACAGACGCTGCTCGCCTCCGCCTGGCCTCCTTCCAGGCAATCTGTGTCCCACCTGTTCATGTGGTCAGCATGTCTGTGCCTGGCCCCGTGCTGGCACAGGCCAGGGCGGGCTGCTCAGGACCACACAGGCCCGACTGCCCTGCCCGGGCCCCTGCCCTGCTCCTCCCCACCGAGCCTGAAGCTCCTGGGTGCTCCTCCTGCAGGAAGCCCACCTGGGGCCTCAGGGGTCCCCAAACCCCACTAGGACTGAGACTCTGAAACGGAATCACCCCTCATCTCCCAGGGGTCTGAGTGAGCCACTGGGTCAGGAATGCCTCTTTTTCTCTCATAAATACAGCCTGCCACCACTTCTTCCCTTTCCTCAGCCAGAAAATAGGCATCAGACAACCCCTGACTTCCCACCTGGATGGGAGGATGAGGCAATGTGTGAATTCCACACACACACTCCATGCGGCCAAGTGAACTGATCCCCCAGGAACATAAAAAGTGGGGGTGGCTGTTATCCCTTCCTGATCGTCAGGGTTGGAGAGGATTGAGAAAGCTGTATTTTGTAAACCGGGAAAGCTCAGTAATCTGGAAGCAAGGAGGACTCAGAATGGGCGCACAGTAGGTATCTTAACAGACCCTAAATAAAGAGAATGGGGTGGGGTTGGGCTGACCACTCTGGCCCAATGTTTCAATAGGAAAGCAACCCATCCTTCTCTTGTCATTGAAAAGGTTCTGACAACCATCCTGTAATGCAGCGATTTTCACCTTTTTCCATCTCATGACACTATTACCGAAATTCTGCGGCTGACAAAAGCAAAGTTCTAATTTTGATTAATTCACACTGGATGGCTATTGTTGTGCTGGCTGTTGTCATTTTTTTTACTTGACAATCGAAAGGAAGAGAAGTCAGTGCCCTGAATAAATAGTCAGGTATTGCGTATTTAAAAAATGCTTGCAGCCATTGGCTGACGTAACGTGTTATAAACATCCCAAACATTATAGATTAGGTTTTCCGACCTGCCTAGGTTTGAGGCCACAGTCCCACCCACAAGAAGCAGCAGCCACTCAATCCTGGTATCTGGGATGAAGGCAACCTGGGGGAATATGCCAGGTTATTTGTGGTTGGCAATTCTGTGAAAAGTGTGAAAATGCAACTTTTCGTGATGTACAGCCAACAGTGACGCCTCAGCAGCAGGAGCAGGAAGGTTTAAAAACAGCGGGGCGAGGTAAACACTCACCTATATTTTCTTCCAGTTCTTTCAAAGACTGGTATTACATTTAACTCTTTGATACTTCAGGATATCACTTTAGTAAAGAATATGATTTTACTCCTATAAATAGTCCATTGCAATTGCCCCAGTCATTTTAGACCAGAGACAAAATTCTTACAAAGGGCTGTTTCTGAGCATTTCAGTTCTCTCCTATGTCTCTAAAACTCCATTCAAATGATCGGTTTTACAATGTGTTTTATTTTCTCCTTTAATGCTTTAATAGAAGTTGTCTTGTTTATTTTTATCTATTTAGATCATTTGTAAAAGTCACCTCCCTCTCAAGAGGAAAAAGTTATTCTAGATAGGGGTGAACAAATGAAACACAGGGTTTGCTATCATATTATTATTTATTTATTATTGTATTAATTGTCTTCTTACCATCATTATTGTTATTTCGTATTCTTACTTATGATTTATCTTTTCATTAATGAAGGCTGATAATTTAACCAACCACCAACAAAAGTGGATACTTAAATCTGCTTTTGCCCACTCCTATACACAAAAATTTAAAGGAGAACTGACATCTTTCCAAAACAGAGGCACCCTCCTAAGATATGGTCTTTGCTATATAGTCCCATCTTTGTCCAAGTCCCCCAACAATGACTAGAAAGTGGGTGGGAATGGCTATCAATCCGGGAAAGCCAAACCCTCTTTTGCACAGCTGACTTGTTCTTGGGATGAGGACGGGAAGGGTGTGGTTCCCATGGAGGGGTGTGGGGACCTGGTGGAGGCCCAGCCCTGGTGGTGTGGATGGTGGACACCATCTGGCTTGAGGCTCAGAAAAGGCTGGTGCTTTCACACCCTCTCTCTCTGAACCCTCAAAATGGTCCTCTGAGACAGACACAAACACCCCCACTTTACAGGCGGGGAAACAAACATCTGTGTGACAAGCAGGCTCAAGACAACCCTTTCCCATGTGCCTTCTTCAGAGTCCACACCTACTCTTCCTCAGCCTGCATAAACAATGCTGTATATAAAGAAAGATTTGGGAAGCTTCATCAATTCAGTTCTTTAAATTCGCATCTGTCATTTAACTTAATACACTTCCCTATTTTAGAACACAGCGAAGTACTGATAAAAAAAAAATTAGTCGCCGAAACCGGTTTGGCTCAATGGACAGAGCATCGGCTTGGGGACTGAAAGGACCCGGGTTCGATTCCGGTCAAGGGTATATACCTTGGTTGCGGGCATATCCCCAGTAGGGGGTGTGTAAGAGGCAGCTGACTGATGACTCTTTCTCATCGATGTTTCTAACTATCTCTCTCCCTTCCTCTCTGTACAAAAAATCAATAAAATATATATATTTTTAAAAATTAGTCACTGTAATTTGTTAAATAGTGTCATGAGCACTCACACACCCTCCCATTAAGTGGCCAAAGAAAACATGATTTTTAAACTGAAACTATTATTAAATATAGATGTATCATTAGTTAATCAATTAAAATAGCCGGCATTATATCGGTATTTCCTAACCTACTAATTACGAACTGGCATCTGACTTATGTTTGGACCACTTCCTTTTGAAATGGTTTACACTGGCCAGCTGTGGATCTACTTTTATGGTAAACATTCATGCCCTTTGCTATCTGGGTATGTGACTTTTTCCCTTAGTGATATATAACTTAAAAAACAAAACAAAACACCTTTTAAGTGAAAACTTGAACCTGGCTCACTCCAAGATCTCATTTCCCACAAAATCTGGAAGGAGTCAGTGGTTCCAGAAGCCGGGGGTGGGTGGGCCACAGTCCTTGGAATGTCAGGGTTGGGTGGCCGTGGTTCTAGTAAGTGGATGGAGTGACTCGCTGACATCTGTGTGGAGCAAGGGCTTCTGCTCGCCGTCAGGAAGAGGCAGTGACTAAGGTGGCAGGAAGCCGAGGAGATGACTTGTCATTTAAAGCCTCCTCCAGTAGCAGCATTAAGCAGCCTTCAGTGCTTAAGTCTGTATCCTGAATTATGACAGTTACTGCTATTCTTTGATTATGAAGTGAAAAATATGTGAATAATGAAAACTTTCCAAAGGACAGAACATTATGAAGAAGAAAAAAAGAACAGCAGCAACCAGAGTTACAGGGTGAATAAAGGTTTTAGAAATAATCATTTCTCACAAAACCCAACCCAAGCCCCCCCCCCCCATCTATACATCTATTAACATGACACGGCCCCCCTACCCTTCCACAGCAAGGGCTTTGCCCATCTCTGTGTGGGCATACAGCAGGTGTTCAATAAATGATTATGACTTTTATTATTCAAAGACCTGCGCAAACCTGGCCATCTGGAGCCAGGCCTTTCCAGATTGCTAGGAATCGGCCTCTCCCTGCGGTTTCCAACTCTGACTTAGAGTTCCCATTAAGGCACTCAGCAAAGCGTCTCATGTGAGTTTTCTCTAAAAACACAAAACCCAAACTGAAACCCCCTGACGCACACCGAGGCCTACAGCTGGCTGGGGCTGCAGTAGCTACACAGGGTGGAAGTCACCACTGGAGCAGGAGAGGAAAGAAGGCTGGACTCAGAAGCCAGAGACGAAACCCCCCTCCTTCCCCAACACCTCCCATCTCACACACACACACACACACACACACACACACACTGACTCAGTCCTAGCTGGCACCCATGGGCAGTCCTTTCTCACTCCTGGCCTCAGTGTCCTCACATGTCAGGTGGAGGGATCAGAGAAGATGACTTCAAGGGCCCTTCTTCCGAGCTGCTCTCCCCAGCCCAGGCCACACACCCAGGGGGCAGGGGCTGGAAACAGCAGCTCACACATGAACAGGCGGCGGTCTTCGTTCCAGAGGACCCTGCATGCTAACGCTCCTCCAAGCATCATAGAACACGCAGAGATCCAAGATTAACAACCACCCACAAACCCACTAGTTATCGGAGGCTGAGCTGACAGCTGATGACATCTGGGCTCCCCCCTTCCCAGGCCCTCCTCGCCAGCATTCACCCACATGTGCACACATGCATGGACTAAAAAGGCAGGATCCAATCAGGCATGCAGTTTGGTAACTCATGCATTTTTACAAAAGTAACTTAAAATTCTTTCTAAATAGAAAACAGGCCTTGCAGGGTGGTGTGGCCCACTCCAGTCAGCTGCCTCCTCGAAGCCTC